ATTCTCTGTGGATCTTTGTGGATTCATGTCCAATATTAAATAAATCCTGTTTTTTGTCAAATATGATTTATTAAAGACAAATCATCCTTTCAAGGTGGATCTTTTCATTGAATTGGTTGATCTAGCTCAGAATTTAAATACAGTCCAGGAATCGTTTAGACCACTTTTAATATATAGTTATTGTTAATATTACTGTTTTTACTGTATTTTTATTATGAGCATAATAGACTTCTTTCCTAAAAAATAATAAAATATATTATTATATTAAATAAATATATAATTCCATATGCATAGCCTTAGATTCATATATTACCTTACACAAGTGTACATTATCGTTGTTTCTTAAAAAGTCATACAGGTTTAAAATGACACACAAGGGTAAAAGACAATGTTCCATCTATGGACAATGTTTGCTGTCACCCCTCTAGTGTGACAAGCATGATAATACTTCCTTTATTAAATTCCCATATTGTGTTTATCTGTCTCCATATATTCCCACTCATTCATCGAATCCACTTCCTTTACATCAAGAGCTTTGAATTGATCCTTAACTTAAGAGAAACAAACTCTTGAATATATAAAACCTCCACGAAGGCTCAAGAGAGGATGTCAGGAACCAACAAAGAGCAATTTGTCTAAAAATAGCATGTTAAGGTAGGATTACAGTTTTTTAAATGAGATATAGGACATAATTTGTTAATAAATTTGTTGCCTGAGCAACAGTATGTGATGGGGAGGTGTGTTTAATTAAGGCAAAGCACGATAAATGCTAATTGCAGCCCCATCAGACAGCTCAGATGGACAGCCCTCAGTGTGTGAGTGAGCGGGGGAGGGGACGGGTGCGTAAGAGCGCGGACGGGGAGGGTGAGAGACACATAAAGAAAGAAGAGAGAGGGAAAGAGCAGTAGAGTAAGAGCAAGAGAGCGATACAGACAGCAAATGAAGTGATAGTGGGAGGATCAATGCTTCTAGCAGGTGTGTGGCTGACTTGAGAAGCTCACCGCTGTCAGACGGGAGAGGAGATCCTACATCCATCCACGCAGTGAGTAATCACACTGTATCTGTGTACAGGAATATCAAGCATGACAGTTGTACTGGGTTTGGTATTTATGGCATTTGCCACACTGGTTAGGAGATTGTCTGGACGGCCAAAGCAGTTGGCAGGTGTGCGGCTCATAAACGGTGTCATGTCCAATATGCTTTAGAGACGAGCAGATTGCCAGGAGCCTTCATTAACTCGTATAGTGAGATGTTGGGAGATTTTCTACGCAGTAGAGAGAGCATTGAGCGCATCTGCGAGTAGTAACTAACATTCGTTCACGGATCATCGTTTACAGTTAACTTCTTAACGGGTGACCTAGCAGCATCTTTTGTCATGTTCCATTCTTCAGAGCTGCTCGTGGAAAACAGGAATTGACTTGTGAGCTTTTAGTGCTTTGTAGTTTTCTCCTGTGTCACATCTGAGACCATAGTTCATATTTCATTATAGTTCTTCCTCCTTGTTTTATCCTGCATCTACTCTGGTTATGCAAACTCGCTGAAGACAGAGGTGAGATGGTAATGAAACATTGCTGTGTGGTAGCAGAACCTCAGGAGTTAATGGTTTATGTAATTTCACATGTAATTGTATTCCTCTTTTTTAAATATCTTATTTAAATCTCTGATAAATATCTGATTTACTCTCAATCGAACCTTGCTCAGCAAACCGAGAGGGGGGTGATAGAAAGAGGTTTTTTAGATATTAGCAGCTGAGAGGTGAAATATTGGACAATTAGTATGCTCTCAGATGCTGGTGAATTAATCACAAATTAGAGATTGAGAGGTGAGTATTATCAGTTTGTCTGCCTGCTAGTGTTAACTTCATGATGCACTTCTGTAATAGTAATGCACCAATATTCAAATTTGGGATTATGCCATTAACCATAATTTTATAAAATTATTATTCTTAATTAAGAATAATTATTATCATGATAGGTCTATATTTAAATGTGATACTGTTTTGTCTAAATACAATAAAAAACGCTCAATTCTAAAGTGATTTTTTTTTAAATGCTACAAGGCATCAACATTTTAATGTACAGTTGGAAAAAAATATATTATTTTTGAGATTTGCTATTACATTTTATATATTATATTTAACTTAATTTTTTGTGTGTTTATAAAAATTACCTTTAATTGAGTATTAATCAGTTGGATCAGATGAGAAAGGTCATCTAAATGAGAAAATATAGAAAAAGACTTGCACAATTGAATATCCAAAATCAAATTATACAAATGTATCAATTATGAAATACAGAACAATTAAAGCATGTGTGCTATTAGCTAATAACCAATATTGTACCCATATATTGTGCATCCGTATTCTTTAAACATCATGACTAGTTTTGACAAAAATATTTTTTTATGAAGTAAACTTTATTACACCAAACTGCATTAACAAAATCTTAATATAATTTATACAATAATTTAATTAATTGAACTAATATGATAGTAATTGTTTTCCATGGTATATGATGTTTTTAAAGATTTTTTTTTTTAATGCCAAAACGGGCTGTGTTTGAGCATTAAATAATGATTGATATAATGTAATGTATAATTTCATGGCTGTACTCTAGTTTCACAGGGCTGTGATGCCTGCAGACTTTAGCAAGGATTTTGTCTGTTTGGTGCATGGTATTGGTTTCTGGGCTGCTCAGCTGTAGGGAGTGAAATAATGATCCCGGTTGTGAATTCTGAGCGAGAGCATTCCCTCAGCAGTCCGGTGGGAATTTCTTGCCTGTGCAGGAAGAGAATTAATACACTGGAATTAGTATTACTCTGTACTGTATAACCCAATAGAGCATCTTTCTGTTCTGAAGGTGAAAGGGGGTCAAACAAACACTGTATTAGTATGCTGTTCCTAATAATCCTTTAAGGGAGTGTATGTGACAGTTTAACAGTACAGTAAGTTATCACAACATTAGTCAGTTCACCACATATTAAGCCTTCAATAATCAATTTTAAAGTGGGATATGCAGTTCCAAGATCCATTCATTGAAATTAATTGAAAGGATGGGCAGTAAATGGAAATTGGTCTAATAGAGCAAATCAGCAAATGGACAAATCCGTATGATACAGCAGAGCTGTACGGCTGGTTTTGTTTTATCATTTGTTTTGGCGCTGAGCTGTGGTTCATTTAAGGTCTGTGTTCCAGCACTGCAAGTTCACTCCTGCATTACATCACATCCATTATCCACTGCAAAAATCCACGCCACCTAGACATCGATAGATGTGTTAAAGGCGGAAGTTCACTTAAACTTCCATAAGCGGCTTATAGTGCAATCTGGAGGTTAATTTAAAAGAAGCCTCAAATGATGGTTTGCGGTAAATTATCATATATTTAAAGTAGCGAATTTACCTATAAAGTAGCTGTCTGGTTTTGATGGATGGCGGATAGAATATGCAAGCAACGGGGCAGCTGCTGCCGTAGAGCTCAGACTCGACTTTTGACTTTCTCTAACAAACTACAGAAATATCAGAGAAGCACATTTGAAATAGTTCTCAACTTTATTAACACCATTACAACCCCTCCTTGATGTCAAAAAGAAGGATTTTCCCAGAAATTGACCTTCAGATAATTCTTTTTGCCTGAAGCAATATGGTATAAGCACCACACAGGTCCTGAGAATGAATTTCAGTCAAGTGCTGCACCACCTTTTACCAGATGTTAAATGCACAGAAACACTGCTGCAGTGTATTTAATTTTAAAAACAAATTATTTACATTTTCAGCATAAATACGCCTTGTTTCTGTTCAGATCAGACTCACAGATTCCACCTTATTCGAAAAACACAGCACTATTTGCTTGGCACATTTTATTCTGAATACAGATTGCATTTAGTACTAATTTTATGGGTACATTTGCTCAGTTTCATGATTTGCATAATTCCCTTACTTGTACCAGGTACAGTATGTGTTAGTGTGCAATTCCATAATAGTACTGAAGATTTTATAGTTTTCCATTTTCCGAATTACCATAGAGGATATGCGTTGCAACAATGGGTATTTTCTTGTTGAACTTTCGGGTGGATTGTCTGTCAGGGTAAATTTTTATTAAAACATTTAGCAAAGAATAAATTCATCAGCTGTCTTATTATAGAGCATTCAGGGCCATTCTTTAGCTCACTTACGTCGTCCTGAACCGTATTTAGCATGCATAATTTGTAATGCAATCTGTTTCTCTTCAACTAAAGTGTAATGGGAAATCTAATCATGGCCTCATGTCAAAACAATAGGAGTCTAAAAAAAATGTGATTATACCAACCCCCGCATATAATGCACATCACTTCTGCAACTCCATGGAGCTTTGCACTGACAAAGAAACCTGCTAATCTAAATGCAAAAGCTTGCACAGAGGTGCTGACCGTACGGCCATGTGGGGTGGGGGGAGGGGGGTTTGTGATACAACTGTCATTATTCAGGCTATTACAATGCTAAACCTTCCTCTGCTGTGACCCCGTGGCCTTTGGCCATTTAGAGTAGTTATTTCTCAAGTGATTTTGCTTCAAGTGGTAACTGAACACAATATTATATAAGGATGTAACCATATCCTCATGTCACGATTATATTATTAAATTGTATTGGCTAGATTTGCTACTGACATATCAATTGGTGCTAAATAAATAACTATAAAGATTGATTGGACAACACAGCCTTTCATTTCAGCAACAAAAACATGTATTTATTATATTATACTATCTACTGACAGATGCATTTGGGTATTTGGGCTGTCAAGTTAACATTAATGTGTTTTAATTATAAAAAGCAAATAACAAAGTGAAAATGAAGGCAATTAATCACTGACTGACAGGTCTAAACTATGTGGATTTCACATTGTTTTCCCTGATGTGACCCTTTCAGACGGTTGCGAACCACTGGTGTAGTTTTATTTCGTGTCTATGTTCACATGTGTACGCCTGCTGCCTGAACAGAACTGAATTGAACTGTCTCTCTCATTACAGGAAACAGGATGGAGGAGAGCCTTGCATCTCTAACACACTAGATCCTTCACTGTTCCAGCCATCACTGCCCCACACTGGCCCTGCGTTCCTCAAGGTATCACAAAGCCCCAGCCTGCCTGCATGCTGAGAGTCCTTCCATCCTGCCAATGCTTGACTTTTGGTTGCTGAGTCTGTCTCACCTCCTCTGCCCCATTACTGTGAGCCTGTGTACAACTAAAGCTGATTTGCATGAGGCCAGTCAGTGTTTAGAAGGATGATTACGGACTTTTCTGTTTGTTATTAATACACATGATTGGCATGCCATGCAGTTAAATGAGAGTGATGTAATTAAATGTCAGATGCTATTAATTAACAAATGTCAGGCCAGTTTCTGAGTCACACTCCTTATTCCGTGAGACAAACTAATGCCGGTCAAAATAGTATGGATTAGGAAAGGTCACTTATCTGTTGACAAATAGTCAGTGACTTACAGCTCCTCCAAGGATTCAGCTTTGTGAACTAAAACTGCGCACTTTGAGTAACAGTTCAAACAAAATGAAAATTCGATCATCATTTATGCGAAACTGACTGATTGAAGTCGAAGTGACCAGATTGAATAAGTGAGTGTGAAATCTGTGAATCATTCAGGCTGGTTTTGTGGACAAGATCAATTGATTCATTGTAAAGATCTGAGTCAAAAGATTGATTCTTTAAATCACTACTTCTCTCATTAACTTTCATGAAGCAAATAGACCTGTTTCCAATGAAGAATGACTTGGGTTTGTTTCTCTCACGCCTTCTTATGACTATTCTTATATCATAGTATGAATTTGTGATGCTTCAGTTGAGCTTTTTCTGCCATTTTGGAGGTTGATAGCCACAGTTCTCATTCGCTTTCATCATACTGTAAATGGGCAGAATATTTGAAAAAAAAATTCACCTTTGTTCCATGAAAGAAACATATTCATTCAGGTTTGGATTTCATGAGAGTGAGTAAATGATGATGTAATTTTTAGATTTGAGAAAACTAACCATTTAATTTTTTATATCCAAATGCCTTTTCTGTGGGGCATCATTACAATCAGTTCAGGTTTTTTTCATACACAGATAGAGCATGTAATCAGCTTCTAAAATACACCTTCAAGTGTTGAAGCTTCAGTGCTTGTGCTAATGACTTACGCAGCCAAACTTGTGACTCATGCATGAATTTCAACTGCATGGATGAACTTAAGCTGATGGAAAGCTAAAATCTATTTTTTTTTTTTCAGACTGAGCTACTGCATAAATCGTCTCGGTTACGTATGTAACCCTCGTTCCCTGAGTAGGGAACGGAGACGTTACGTCAGAAGTGACGGAGATTGGGGGTTTCGCATAGAAAGCCAATCCTCTTCGAGTATTAAAACACGAGCCAATGGCATGCAATGCCTTGGGGCTGCGGAAATTTGCATAGCGTACTCCGCCCTACTCCGTGAGTATAAAAGGAGGAAGTGAACGCAACCGCAGTATGTCTTCGCTGAGGAGCCAAGACTGAACTCGGCCTCTACCCAGCGATACAGCAGAAGTGGCAGGGAGACGTAACGTCTCCGTTCCCTACTCAGGGAACGAGGGTTACATACGTAACCGAGACGTTCCCTATCGTAGTCACTTCGAGTTACGTCAGAAGTGACGGAGATTGGGGGTCTGTGCCATCACGCCATCTTCAAGCTGTCTTCCAGTGCCCTGCGAAAGACTGAACCCCGAGCCTTACCTCTTTTTTTTTTTTTTTTTTTGGGGATCCGACTTTGACACAGGATTACCAAGGTACACTGGGAAACATATCCCGAAGGGGACATGCTACCAGCTGCCTACCGAAGGGAGGACTTAAGAAACACATATGGCCACATAGGAACGCATATGGAACACTGGAGTACCAACCGCAGGTGGCTACTGATTTAAACTCCAGGGGTGGCAGATGGCTTGCCAAGGGAAGACACATGCTCAGAGAGGCTTACAGTGGATAATACACATGAGACGGTTACCATGGGGAACCGTGCGCATGGAGGCACCTAGCTAGCATCCAGAGCAACGCAGTGGTGCCCGCATCGTCGGTGCTGGAGGACTCAAGACTTCAATGGAAGAACTGAGGAAATATCGCACTTATCCAGTCCGGGGAGTGGAGTGGCGAGCAAGCGAAGACACCTGAGCGGATCCAGAACTGGCCGAAACGAGTACGTGAGAGGATACCGGCTCAATTCGCAGATTATAGAATCTGGCGAAGGTGTTGGGTGTCGCCCAGCCTGCAGCTCTGCAGATGTCTGTTAGCGAGGCGCCGTGCGCTAAAGCCCAAGAGGAGGCTACACTCCGAGTGGAATGGGCCGTCACACCAAGGGGGCACGGAAGGCCTTGCTGCTGGTAAGACAAAGCAATGGCATCCACTATCCAGTGGGACAGCCGTTGCTTTGAGAGAGCCCTTCCCTTCTGGCTCCCCCCATGACAGACAAAGAGCTGGTCTGAGGTCCTGAAACACTGCGTTCTGTCAACATAGGTGCGGAGAGCACGTACCGGACAGAGCAGTGCCAAGGCTGGGTCTGCCTCCTCCAGGGGCAGCGCTTGCAGGTTCACCACCAGGTCCCGGAGGGGAGTGGTAGGAACCTTGGGCATATATCCCGGCCGGGGTCTCAGGAATACGTGAGAGTAAGCCGGCCCGAACTCCAGGCACACTTCGTCAACAGAGAGTGCGTGCAGGTCCCTTACTCTCCTGATGGATACCAATGCAATCAGGAGTGCTGTCACATAGGACAGGGCAAAAACTCTACCGACTGCAAAGGCTCCAGGGGAGGCCTCTGCAGAGCACCCAGGTCTACTGAGAGGTCCCCAGAGGGCAGGAGGGGAGGGAGGCGGATTTAGCCCCCTCACTCCCCTCAGGAACCTGATGACCAGGTCATGCTTCCCATAGACTTACCTTTCACTGCATCATGAGACGCGGCAATGGCCGCGACATAATCCAAAGGGTGGAGGGCGACAGCCTGCGCTCCAACCCCTCTTGCAGGAAGGAAGCATGACTCCGATCGAACATCTCCGGGGGTCTTCTCAGCGAGAAGAACACCAATTGACGAAGAGGTTTCACTTCAACGCATAAAGGTGTCACGTGGACGACGCTCTTGCGGAAGTGATGGTTGCCGCCACCGCAGGTGGCAGCGAACTCAAACCTGCCTCGTCCCGTCCTGGAGCCACACGTGCAGCCTCCAAGATCGGGACGAGGGTGCCACAGAGTGCCCCGTCTCTGAGAGAGTAGGTCCGGTCTCAGAGGAATAGGCCAAGGAGGTGCTGTCGCGAGGAGCAAGAGTTCGGAGAACCACGTCTTGGTGGGCCAGTAGGGGGCTACCAGCAAGACCTGCTCCTCGTCCTCCTTGATCTTGCACAACACCCGTGCAAGGAGGCTCACTGGGGGAACGCACACTTGCGTGGGCCCCGTGGCCAGCTGTGCGCCAGCGCATCCGAGCCGAGAGAGCCGCGGGTCAGAGAATAACTGGGCGCAGTGGGACGAGTCCCGAGAGGCGAACAGGTCTAACTGTGCCTCCCCGAACTGGTCCCAAATCAGCTGGACCGACTGGGGATGGAGTCGCCATTCGCCGGAGATGGGACGGGCCCGGGACAGCTCGCGGCTGCCCGGTTCCGGTCTCCAGGAATGTAACTGCACGAAGGGACCTCAGGTGCTTCTGACTCCATATCAAGAGGTGGCGGGCGAGCTGCGACAACCGGCGCGAGCGTAGACCCCCCCTGGTGGTTGATGTACGCTACTGCCGTAGTGTTGTCTGAGCGGACAAGCACATGCTGGCCCTAGAGCACGCTCGGAAGCGGTGCCGGGCGAGCCGTACTGCCAACAGCTCGAGGCAATTGACGTGCATGAGGCGCTGGGCTCCTGTCCAGGAACCGGCGGCTGCATGCCCATTGCACATGGCACCCCAACCCGTGGTAGACGCATCCGTGGAGACAACGAGATGCCTGGAAACTCGCTGAATAGGGACCCTGTCCGTAAAAAGCTGAGGTTCGACCACGGGAAGAAGGATCGGCGGCACGTCGGAGTCACTGGAACTCGGAGCGAGCCGCGATGCCATGCCCACCTCGGGACTCGATCGCGAAGCCACAGCTGAAGCGGTCTCATATGAAGCAAACCGAGCGGCGTTGCCGCGGCCGCGGATGCCATATGCCCCAGGAGCCTCTGAAATAGTTTCAGTGGAACCGCACTCTTGCCCTCGAACTGTCGAAGACAAGCCAGCAGTGAGTGCGCGCGCTCGTTCGTGAGCTGCGCGGACATGGCGACCGAGTCTATCTCCATGCCGAGAAAAGAGATCCTCTGCACGGGGCAAAGTTTGCTCTTTTCCCGGTTGACCCGAAGGCCCAGACGGGCTAGGTGCCGTAGCACCAGGTCTCTGTGTTCGCAAACCTGAGCTCGAGAGTGTGCTAGTAACAGCCAGTCGTCGAGATAGTTCAGGATGCGAACCCCGTGTTCGCGAAGGGGAACAAGGGCTGCCTCGACGATCTTCGTGAAGACGCGAGGGGACAGAGCTAACCCGAATGGGAGAACGGCGTACTGGTATGCCTGGCCCTCGAAGGCAAACCGGAGAAACGGTCTGTGTCGAGGGAGAATGGAGCCATGGAAGTACGCGTCCTTCAGGTCGATCGCTGCAAACCAATCCTGATACCGAACACATTCGAAAATGCGTTTGGCCGTGAGCATTTTGAACGGTAGTCGATGGAGAGAACGGTTCAAAATGCGCAGGTCCAGGATCGGTCGTAACCCACCGGTCTTTCTTGGGGACAATGAAGTAGGGGCTGTAAAGCCCGGACCTCACCTCGGCTGGAGGGACCGTCTCGATTGCACCCTTCGCCAGCAGGGTCGCAATCTCCGCTCTCAAGACTGGGGCATTGCCACCAACCATCGTGGAGCGAACTCCCCTGAAGCGGGGAAGAGACCGTGCGAACTGAATCGCGTAGCCGAATCCGATCGTTCTGATGACCCAGCGGGAACCCCGGGAAGCGCTAGCCAGGCTTCCAGGAAGTGAGCCAACGGGGTCATGCGAACCACAGACGTCCCCCCGGAGGGGCAGCGAGGCGGGTCGACCGGCATGCGTG